CCCCAACACGCCCCCAAACCATCCCCTATTACACCCCAAACCATCCCCCAACACACCCTAGAAGACCATGCACAAACAACCCCCAAACCATCTCCCAACACCCCTCATACAGCCGGTACAGGGGGGCCTGTACCAGTGAAATCGGTACAGGCGGGCCTGTACCGAAAAACACGGCCGGTATATACCAGCGGCGGGTTCATACCGCGGGGGGGTCATGCCAATCGGTACAGGCGGGCCTGTGCCAGTGGAATCGGTACAGGCGGGCCTGTACCAGTGGAATCGGTACAGGCGGGCCTGTACCAGTGAAATCGGTACAGGCGGGCCTGTACCGAAATCGGCTGGTATATACTAGCGGCGGGCTCATATCGTAACATATATTCATGACATGCTTTAGGACGATCTTAAGTTGCAGCCGTCGACTATCAAGTTGACCCGGGGTTAAAACATCTTCCGGGGATAAAGCCTCGGCATGATTTGAGTCAAAATTCTAGAGAATTTCTCATGTTCACAAGCATTGGTTTATCGAAACATACTACAAGGATCTCGGCGAAGCCACCAACTTTCCTTCAAAAGAAACCACTGCTAAAAGCCAAGGAAGACTACCAGCAAGTCTTGGGAAGACCGGCAGGCGAGAGTGGCGCCATGCATATGCACATTGCTTCTGGTTGCTGAACAAGATGCTCTCGACCAAACGAAGCGAAGCCCTCGAGAGACGAAGGAGCAGCCGAGGCAAAATTGCACGTGGTCATGGCTGTGAAGCGGGAAAGGGTGCACCGAAACCTGATCAAAGTGCAGGATTGGGCTCCAGATTGCATGTAGACCCCACATAACACAAGTGGAGGGGGACCTGCATGGCCCGGAATTAGCGCCCTCCCGCCTCCCCTTACGGTCCGGCAACCGCGGGGAGCATCCTCCCCTCACGCACCAGGGCTCCATCAGCGATCCCATTCACCTGCAGAGGACTGCATGGCCTACCAACAGCGCGCAGCAATAAAGCGATTGACACCAGAACGGCTCAGAGTGCGCGAGATAATATGCGAGCCCTAGCATGCAACCTTCGCAGCGAGCCCGGCAATGGGCGGCACGCATGATCCATCTCTAGAGTCTCTTCTCTTCTATCAACAACGAGTGCGTGTCAAAAGGGAGGTAGGCGGCACTCGCCAGGTCTGGCCAGCGTCCTCCGAAGAGGAGAAGCGGATGTGCTGCCCGGCGGCTCCTGGTAGAATCCCGAGCATCCCAGTCTCATCGTCATACTCGTAAGACCTCGGTCCGGCGTTGCACACCGCAATCGGTCCCCTGTAGAAGAGCGATCGCTGGCGGCGGTGCAGCGCTAAGTCTGACGCACGGCGGGGCGAGCGATCAGGAGTACCCTCTTACGGCAACGAGCACCCTCAGAAGCTCAGCGACACCGAGCCTGCCGCATCGTGGGGCGAGTTCAGGGCTTCAACGACGCTCACTGAGTCTGACGCACCGCGGGGCGAGCGATCAGGAGTACCCTCTTACGGCAACGAGCACCCTCAGAAGCTCAGCGAGAGTATTAGCACCCAGGCACCCTGGCCCGATGCATCCAGCGTTTCACAAGGAGAGTGGCCACCATAAATTCATATGCAAGGCAGTCGATGACGCTGTCATGAGGAGCCTTTCTGCGATTCTCTCTCCACGTTGCGTGCAACAATCACTTGCCACGTCGATGGCTGGAGGTAGCCTTAAACTTAAACTCACCTTCACATCCAGCCTCACTGGCTTGCCAAGCGCCGACCAGCAGTGTCGTCCCTGCAAGCAGTTTGTGTCTCAGATTCCTGGACACAGTTGTCCAACGCGAAGAGACACAAGATCAACGAGAAGAGAATAATAATATATTTCTAAAGTATCTTTGGAGGTTTAACCGATACCCATTGTTGCCAGAGGAGCGTTCGGATGTCTAGAGGGCCGATGGGGTCCCTAAGCGTCATAGGAGATCACGGCACCTTAATATGTCGTCGCCGTCGTTCGTGCTCAAGTTCGCGGGAAGGGAGTATGCATGCAGGTTTGGGTGAGCACCTTGGTAATCAACCCTCTCGATGTTAATCATGTGACAGTATGTGATACCGATGCTCGCTCCTTCGCTCTGAAAGCGGAAAATCCAATCGTATGAGACGTTCGGGTGCTCGGTCATGATTGTTGGTGTGCCTTCAGAGCAACGATATTCGCGACAGATCCTTGTGCGGTATTGACACACTCACAACGTTACTCTTCGCAACAAGAGTCTACTGTGATAGCCGACGAAAAAAATCGTTTTCTTGTCTATTTTATTTGCCCCTCCGTCGTCCGCACGGTCCACGGTCCACTCAAGACGCTTGTTGTCGAGTGATGATAGACGTGAAAACTCACTTTAAAATTGCAACTCGAACTGTTGATGTTGCTGTCGTGTGGAACATACTCGATATGATACTGATACTGATACTGATTTGTATCGAACCGAACGTTAAAAAAAATGTGATTAAAATCACAAGGGCGGGGTGTGCCTGCAGTAGCGCAGCAAAGTTGGGGCGGGCAAGCGATAACTTGCATTTCCATACTTAATAACTTACAAACGGCACTGTTACGGTCTGCCCGAGCCTCGAACGCGGACGTGGAGGTGCAGACCGCAGTCGTGGCGGGGCGGACCGCAGACGTGGACTGGAGATGGAGATGGAGGCCAGATTGTGCTGACTCTGCGGAAGACCTTCGTCAATAATGTCCGGTTGTCCGGTTCTGTCATACCCGTGAACTGAAGGTATCGACCGATTGCGATTAGACCGACAGATTTCCAGCATACTCGTTAGGTATCGGATATCTAAATTATAGATTAATCGGTCGGTCTAATCGGTCGATACCTTCACAAGTATATGCTGAGTATTATCAGCATATCTGAGATCACCAACGTTGAACGTATCGATATCCGATACCTAACGAGTACAGTATGCTGGATCGAAGTTTTGATTTATTTTGTGTCGTCCGCGTCCTCTTGTCGAGCAGTTGTCGTTGTCGAACCGTTTCAGTTTATACCGACTTACCGTTCGCGTTGTCCATTGCTTGTATTCAAATTCATCAACCGTGACTGTGCCATGTCGATGTGCCCTGTTCCGATCCACGGACAGTTCCGATTGACGGCCATCCTCCAGGATCCTCCAGGATCTACCTCCATAAACAGGAACAGGAACAGCATTGGGAATTTGGGATCAGGTGTCAAAAGAGCTCGCCTGTCGCACGCTGTCAGGTGGTGATGGTGCTGGTGATGGTGCTGGTGTCGATCGGATGTCTGATGGCATGGCATATGGCATGGCATATGGCATGGCATGGCATATGGCATGGCATGGCATTATTGTCATGGCAGTGCCATGGCATGGCATGGCATGGCATGGCATGGCATATGGCATGTCTATGTCTACTGTATGTCTATGTCTTCGCTTGGTGCAGCCGCGCTAAGCATGATTGAACAGATATTTTACAGTCAGGTCATACCACCATCAATTGCTGTTGTAGCTTAGTGGTAGAGCGCGCCCTTCGTAAGGGTGAGGTCACGAGTTCAATCCTCGTCAATAGTAGCTGTGATCTTTGAGGTCATTTTTATCGCCCCAAATATTTTGCCAATGCACGCTTGCGATACCTTTACATAGGCTGGTTCCAAATCATAACGATAAGAAGCAGAGGTACATCGAATCGCGTATCGATCATATCGATATCGATACGAGGTAGTTATAGCTGCCACGTCAGACTATATGCTCTGGACTGTGCCGGAGGCATCCAACCATCCTTCCTACCTGACGCTTTTTGGCAGGGCCCTTACCATGTGCACCCACTATCGGGAAAGCCAATCAGAACATGCCAGCTCAAAGATGCCATTGCGACACGACTTTTGTAATTGCACAAATGGCAAAACACCATTGGTTGTCGATGACGAGCGAGCGACAAAATTAACAATACATCAAATGCTCATGCTGTATAAATTTCATCAATCATGACTGTGTCATGTGCCCTGTTCAGTATAAAGAGAAACAGGAACAGCATTGGGGTCAGGTGTCAAAAGAGCTCGCCTGTCGCTGCACTTGTGCGATTTTTTTTCAAAAATTCGATTTTAAAATTTTTCTAGAAAATTTTAAAAAAATGACCCCCCCTTTTCGGGCCCATTGTAGAAGCCGAATTAATTGATTTTACAGTGTTTATAAGGATCCTTTTGGGCCGATTTTGGATTTTCCCATTTTCGATTCTCGATTCTCGATTGTGTGACAGTCCTGTGCTCGCGTCGCGTCGGCTTCTCGGCGATCTGCTATCTAGCTATCTGGCTACTGTGACATGTGTCTTCGTTAAGTGACTGCTAAGCCTCAGTTTACAGTTCGTTCCGAGTTGCCGGGAGCCATGGCTGCTGGATACATGGTTGATTTATTTTACCTTAAAATTACAAAAAAAAATAGTTTTTCAAAATTAAAAATTGAAAAAATTGAAACCCCCGAATAATTGATTTTAAAAATGTCACAAGTGTACCTGTCGCACGCTGTACGGCGTATTAAGAGTGTAATGAAAAGCGCGACGGATTCCTTTTCGATTCCTCAGATGCGAATTATATTTTTCATTGTTTACAAATTCCGTACAGCCGTTCGATTAAATCAGAAGGACATCTAAACCGTTATCGAAATCGCACCGGTATCTTTCTGGAATCTGTCCGCTTCCGCTCGCGCTTCTTAAGCGCTTTACACTGTGAAAACCTAGTGCAGCAGGGTAGATTAATGAAGAGATTGATAACTCTTCGCGATATATTAGAAGCGAATAATGTTTAATATAAGGTATTATGAACGCTAGGAAGCATCCCCGCACAGATTCGGTGACTGGAAGCAGATCCCGGATTCCCCGCTTCGTGTGGCGGAAGCGGGAACCGGCATCCGCAAAACGGCATTCCCTTCGGTATCCTGCCGAAGGGAACGCTAAGAAATAGTAATAACAACGACTTAAACATATTTTCAACGCTGTATGTGTGCATCTGTGTTTCATTTGGTCATTTGGTTCACACGCTTCGAGCCCCGCGGCACATCCGGGATGGCGCGTGTAAGTTACTAAATACGCAAACCAACGCAGCAAGTACGTCCATATGGGCTGTTGAACAAACGTTACTTGGGGCGTTGCGAGAAACCGATGGGAACAGCTGCATTCGTACATCTCTAGAGATGATGTAAAGAAGTAGCATGCCAAATCTTTGCGAGAAATTGGATTCACGCAAATCCCCAAAGACCGTTTGGGAGGACCTAAGCCCTCGACTACCTCAAACCTTCAGAATGCCCTTCCGGCAGGCATTGATGTCCCTTAATTGCACCTGCACGTTCCGGGGCGGCTGCATATAAGCAATCCCAATATTAACGCTATAAGTATTTAATCTTGGATTTTATATCCGTCGCGTTTTTAAATATGGTCTTAATACGCCGTACGCTGCGCTGATGGTGCTGGTGTCGATCGGATGTCTGATGGCATGGCATGGCATGGCATGGCATGGCATGGCATGGCATGGCATGGCACATGGCATGGCATGGCATATGGCATGGCATGGCATATGGCATGGCATGTGGCATGGCATGGCATGGCATATGGCATGGCATATGGCATGGCATGGCATATGGCATGGCATGGCATGGTATGGCATGGCATATGGCATGGCATGGCATATGGCATGGCATGGCATATGGCATGGCATGGCATATGGCATGGCATGGCATATGGCATGGCATGGCATATGGCATGGCATGGCATATGGCATGGCATGGCATATGGCATGGCATGGCATATGGCATGGCATGGCATATGGCATGGCATGGCATATGGCATGGCATGGCATGGCATGGCATATGGCATGGCATTATTGTCATGGCATGCTGGACTTTAGGTTCAGGGTTATTATTATGGGCTCTGATAGCCCCTAGCCTGACCTGTCTCTGATCGGAACCGTGACTCCGCTAGTAGCTAGGATGACAGTACAGTAGTACTAAACTGTCAGTCATTACTTCGTATTATCCGGGTTTCCGAGATGCATGATAAAAGCACTCGGCCGGACTGCTTATGGAGCTTAGCCAGTTTGTTTTACCGAGCGGAACACCTGTTCTCGCAGGTTATGCGCGTCACCACTTCCCTAGTAATTCTGATGGCACAGCGCCTATCTGTTGCCATGTTTGGCTAAGTTTTTGACACAGAGATGGGGTGGGCGCCCCCTTAGGCAGTAGTTTACTTTTCGCGGTATGGCCTCTTCTTGAGGTGGAGATCAGTTTGAGACATTTTTCGGCAGCAGTATCGTCGCTCGCTGTGGCTTCTTTTTACGTTTCACCTGGCCGGTGGAGAGGGCATTCCGCGTATTGTGGGTCGCAACCACTTTTAGCCAATCGGCTCATGACCTGTTTGATGTTGTTTTTGTTGCTGAGACTTCTGCAGGAATTGGCCGCTGCATCTTCTAGTTACTCTACTGCCGCCACGCTAGCCCACGCTTCCCATCTCACCGTCATTTTGAGAATGGATACACCGCAGAAACCACGTACACGCGCTAGGGCGCGTAAATTAGCAACAATTTTTTATGATGTTGGAGCATTGCACGCAGCCACGCCCACTACTCCGCACTTGGATTCGGCTGCGTCGGAGGCTTCGACTGCGGCAGCCACTCTCGTGCATCGGCTGCGCAGAGATTCTTTTGACGTTCAGAGTTCAAAAACAGCAGCGACAAAAGTACTGGGCGACAAGATCGCAAAATTCCGTGGGGACGAAACATCGGCTTCGGACATTTTTTCTCAATTGGTATCCGAGCTTCAGCAACTTTTCACGCTGCAGTCGATGGCATTCGCACCCCTGTTTGACCTGACTGCTGCTGACACCCCTGTTCTGCCTGCTGCCAATGAACTGTTGTACTCTGTGCTGCTGCTGCTGACTGCGCCAGGGTCTCCTGCCCGTAATTGGGTAGAGGCTTCTGGTGCGGATGTTCCTGCTGATGGCAAACGCGCCACCCTGGAGGTGGTGCGTATGCTTGCTGACGCGTCGACTCCGTTCGACGCTCTGACTGAGCTGCTTGAAGTGAGGATTTCTGACGAGTGTGACCCTGATGCGGGGATTCGCCTCTTCAACAGCTGCCTTCGGGATGCACAGCGTCTGACGACGCTGCCCGAAGACGCTGTTAAGAGACAGTTCCTCTCTGCTCTGTCTGGGCCGGCCTACGCCACGCTGGTTGACTCGTTTGCTCGAGCTGACCAGCGTGCGGCTGTGAGTCTCCTCACCCTGCAGGCACGCGTGCGCGAGCAGTACCGCTGCGGGCGGCTCTCGGGCAAGCGCACTGCAGGGCGCCCCATGTCTGCAGCATCTTGCGCCACTGACACTGGCCTGGCTTCGGCCATTGATCGGCTCAGTGCTCAGTTGGTCAAGTTGCAGCGGGATGTGGATTCCCTTAAGAGGGGTGGCTCCAAGCCGCCTCCTGGGAAGCACACTCCGCGCGACTTCCACCGACCTGGAGTGCAACCGCTTGCTCACTCCGCCTCTCCGGAGGTGGCTTTTGACAAGCGGTCTAGCACCTTTGTTGTCCCAGGGGAATTCCCAGGAGTAGACTATTATCCTCTATTATCTTGAGGAATCATATCATATATTCAGATATACTATTTAACATAAACCCAGACAGCAAGAGTTATATCATTTGCTGTCCAAGTCTGAGAGACCAACTCTGTTACCTCTCTTTATTCTCTCCTCTGAGCTCACATATTATTTTCCCCAACTGTTCGCTCAGGCAATGTCACATCCACTCACTAATTTCCCTAATAGTTCGCTACTCTTATTCTCATCGAAATCAGACCCCCCTACTATGGGTGTCTCAGCAGGTACGTCGTGCCTCCTGGCACAACTCTCCCCCCGTTAGGAGTGGACTTTCCCCTGAAACCACGACTAAAGCATAATCACACATACAATAGCGTACAGGGGTCTCGTGATTCCTCTGCTCATCAGCGTAGCAGAAGGGCTTCACCAAGGATCACGCTGCCAACGCTCATCCCGGATTCACCCAACCGCACACAACCGATATCTAAGGCAGGTCTTCAGTCTTCGTCTTCTCCTTCGAAACTCTGCTTGCCGTAGATAGGTTGCACTCGGTCCAAGGGTTATGGCCGTAACATCGTTTACCTTCCTGTGCCTCCAAAAGTCAAGTGCTGGAACAGATGCCGCAGTAGACCCTCTGGAACTGGATACACTGCGTGTGACTTCTGCATCCCCTTCCGATGACCACTCGGTCCCAGTTGTGCAGTATCAGGGTGAACTCCTGTTGCACGTCGATGCGAACAAGGAGTCGCTGCAGAGCACTGCAGTAAGGGTTCGGGCGGAGGCGAGCTCGCCCATATACACGTAGGTTTCATGTATCGTTTCCCATACATGCAGTAGGTGCAAGTGAGGGGTGCCGGTAAATGGCTCATTACTGGCCTGAAACGCAGGGCGTCAGGGTAACGGCCCATCGGGTTCTCCACAAACCAGTGTTGAGGACGGAGATACTCGATGATGTCTAGGGTGCGTTGTACGCACGCGTCCGCTGTAACGAAATCGGGCG